CGACTACAAGTGGTTTCTCATCTTTTGGTGCACGGAAAGTAAGTTGGTATCCTTGTTCTGCCTAAGTGTTAGAATGTTAGAAACATACATATACATGGGCAACAAACCTTTCAGGCCGTCAAAAAAGAGTGCAAAGTCCTTCTGGTGGGATTCCTCCACGACGACAAGAACAGAGTCACCATCGCTTGATTTGGCGTGCGAGAAGCTTGCCAAGCTGAGGAAAAATAGGACGAAGACAGAGAAGGAAAGCATGTTTCTAGACGTCGAAACTAGCATGACAGACCGGAGGTTCAAGACCAATTAACAGGAATACCTTTCCTTCCTGAGTTCCACGTCGATGAGTTCTTTTGGGAAGTGATTGTCCCTGCTTGTCAACGACCTCTGGCGGCAATCCGGCCCGGCGGCATGTGTGATCCTCGTCTGCAAAATTGTGTCATATATATCAGTGCAACCTAACGGTCATGAAACACTGACTCTATGCACGACACACATCGTTGCAACCCGATCCGAGATCCCGGGGCTCTACATTTCCAAATGGTCTGCAGCTTTTTTCCAGGCTTGCCGCACCTCCGATTCTGAATGAACAGGAATGAACATCAAACCGGTTCGTACGTATGGAGTATGATGCCTAGGATTGATATTCTTACTATTGATCACACAGGTTACGATACCAATGTGATACAATCGCGCACAAGTATCAGAGAAGCAGAATTGATATTTCCGGGAACGAACGCTACAATCTTTTAGACAATTTACTTACATACTGGCCCTTTGGGAAATGCCTTTCGGACCCGATTGGATAATTTTGCTCTCGCTACAGAACGGGGCTCTTCGTGCTCTCCCTCTCCCTCATGTCTGCCGTGACTTTGAAGGGAAACAATGACGAAACGCCAGCATCCTCTTCCACCAATTCCCTGCAGAAAGTCTCAGAGCCCGCGGAGAAACCAGTTGATAGTGCACCACACCTCAATGATACCACTATTCTAGTAGACTGGGATGGTCCTGACGATCCCCAAAACCCTCTCAAGTACGAGACCATTTTTCATCTCTTTTTGGATGCTGATACCTTCTCAGCTGGAGTTATGAGCATAAATGGGCCGCGACAATCGCTGTTTCGTCCTTTACTTTTATATCACCAATATCTTCTTCAATGATCGCACCCGCGAGCGCTCAGCTGGCATCGCAATTCGGTATCACAGACAGTGCAGTTGTTGCATTAACGACATCCGTCTTTGTTCTTGGCTATGGTGAGAGTGTTCATACATCGTATTCTGTGTACCTCTTAAATATAATCAAGCTTTTGGGCCCCTGGTGTGTACTTGCACCTGTACCTACATATGTTGAGCTCAGTCATGCAGTTTCTGGCACCGCTTAGTGAGCTCTTCGGAAGATCCAAAGTCATCCAATTCTCCAATCTCTTCTATTTGGTTTGGAACCTGGCTTGTGGATTCGCGAAGAGCCAGGAACAATTGATTGCGTTTCGATTTCTAGCGGGCCTCGGGGGTAGCGCGCCACTATCTGTTCGTAGCACATATTCCACTGTGTCGCGCCCCTTATGATTTGCAGGTTGGAGGCGGTGTGCTCTCAGATGTGTGGAGAACAGAACAGCGCGGAAGGGCAAGCGCCATCTATTCTCTAGCTCCCTTACTCGGCTCCGTGGGTGGACCGATCGCCGGTGCATGGTCAGTCCTTGCTTCTGACTTACTGGTCTATCAAAAAAATCATGTTGGTTCTTGAAAAGGATTGCTCAGAATTCGACATGGCGTTGGGTCGTAAGTGATCTACTTTATCGCTGACCCTTAGCTGAACATTGCGTTCACCTAGTTCTGGTCGACTTCCATTGCTGATGCAGTGGTGGGAGTAATAGGCCTTTTTTTCTTCCAAGAAAGTATGTGATTTTTTGGTTGAACGATTTTCAGTTTTTCAAGTTGGCGTATAGCATACGCTCCAGTTCTGCTTGAGAAAAAAGCCAAAGTAATTCGGCAGGGTCTGGATGTTGAACATGGATCCTGGACCGTGCAGACAGTTTTTGAAAAGAGTGTGGACAGAAGGTATCATCTTCGTGGGTTTGGGGAGCAATAATCAACCTTGTTGTAATAGGTGGCGAGCAACTTTTCATCGGGCCCTCACGCGTCCGGTCATGCTCTTTGTCCGCGAGCCAATTATACAGTTACTTGGACTATACATGGCTTTCGTCTACGGTCTTATGGTGCGCACTCATCATTTGCTTCTGATTTTGCCTGTAATCACACTACCTTTAGTATTGTGAGTTATCCACAGATACCATTTCTAGCCCGATTTTGATGTCGCGTCAGTATTCTTGACAACTATGGAATCCATCTTCCAAGGTATCTATCAAGAAAGTGTTGGAATTGCTGGCCTCCACTATATCGCACTTGGTATCGGACTTACAATCCCATCACAAATCAATTCCCGCACCATGGACCCGTTGTACGTGTATCTCAAAAACAAGTACGGAGGAGGCGTTGGGCGACCTGAGTTCCGATTACGTCAGTGCTCCTCCAGCATTGTTGAACTTTGAAGACCTGACATTAATTAGCGTCCATGGTGCCGGGCACCATTTTTTTGCCCGTCGGTTTGCTGATCGCTGGGTGGACTGTGGAATATAAAACCCATTGGATCGGGCCCGACATTGTGAGTAGCATACGCTCATGTTAATGATGATTCTAAAAGCCACATAGGGCATTGTTCTGGTTGCAACGGTGAGTCTACTCGAGGTTAGTGGACGGCGAACATTGAATTGTCGTGTAGGGCATCATCTTGAACTTTCAGTGCATCCAAATATATGTCTTGGACGCTTTTACTCTGCATGCCGCGTCAGGTGGGTTATTCTGAATTCTATCGAGTTTTGCTTCATCTCAATTTCTCTCGAGCATTCGCCGCCGTGTCATGTCTGCGATCTGTTTGCGGATTCGCTTTCCCCTTATTTGCGCCTGCGATGTACAACGCGCTAGGGTTCGGTAAAGGTAATACCGTGCTCGCCGTTTTTGCCATTGTGGTCGGTTGTCCAGCGTGCGTTTATAGTACACCTCCTAAAGAGATGCTTTGCTAAAGTTGTTCTTTGACAGACCTTGGCTATTTTGGCACTACGGAGAGCGTATTCGGGGTAACAGTAAATACGCGCGTAAACCTCAATGAGGGGGGCACTACCTGTTATTCATAGAGACTGTTTCGCATATTTGCATGTGAAGTGGAGCGATTATCTCCAAGCTTCCTGCTCGCCCCGTCTTTTGATGCAGCGGATGACGGGCCACACCGAGGCTTGAAAAATCTGCAAGAAACAATGCGCCCAGTGTGCCCTTCCATATCCATCCCGGGCATCCTGGAACTCGGCGTCAGACTCCGCTTGTTTCACTGCGGATTGATATTGGATTGTGGTTACGCCGCGAGGTTGTGTGCTCAAATACAGCGGATCACGGGTCAATGGGCCAGTCAATTTGCCCTGGCGCTCCACCAGTTGTCCCTCGTTTGGGCTAAAAATTTGGGAGCATGGGAAGACACCAAATCCAATTCGTTTGGCATCCTCAGAGTTTCCGAAAATCATGTAAAAATCGAGATTTTGATCACATCATTTGACTGTCCCGCTGACCGCGGTGGATCACTGTATACAGCATTATCACAAATTCGTACATGCACATCAATTTTGGCTCGGGATGTCGATGATAGGAGGAGGGCCGAAATTGACTCAACTTCTTGTTTAACTTTGACCCAACTGTTGCAGGCCCCCGGAAACTACCATGTAACCCTGTCCGGGATAGAGTAAAACTGTAGCCCAAAATGACCCCCAACCTAGTCCGCGATATAGAGTAAAAGAGCCTGAAAACCGGGGAACCTTGTCCGCCATAGAGTAAATTGTGAGGAGCGCGGAACTTTTTTTGGTGTGTATGTACCTGGAGCCATGGAATGGTGCAGATTTGGTACAAACATCTGTGTTGAACGCCGCTGATCAGAGATTTGAATTGATTTCACACGCCAGAACAGACTAATTCCCAGTCAATCAGGCCAAAAATTTGAGCTGGGAGAAAAAATCACAAATTTACTTCCTAAAACCTTGTCCGAGATAGAGTAAAAGATGGTCCAGACGGCCAAATTTCGTAAGGTAAAACTGCCCAGATTTTGGGCTCAACCCGGACAAGGTTACATGGTAGTTTCCGGGGGCCTACTGTTGCCCAATTGAGTTACTGATGCAGTACTTACTCGATGATCGCTTCGGTACTTATGCCATGCGGACACAGAGTCGGCAACACGATCAAAATCAAGGTGTACGTACATGTTCCTCCAGGGACAGGATTCTGCTGGTCCATTCTTGCTACCAGAAGAGATCCGTGAATCAGCCGAGAATGACTCCAGCAGCTGCAGGCTAATAATGGACGTGTTGAGAATGTAACAGGGAAAAATATCCCACGTTGGCATGAACTGCTAAAAAACTTTGAACATCCGTTCGGTCCGCAGCGCGGGCTTTCGTGAGCTCCGATTTGGCCGCATAGATACGTTTCAAGTCCATTTGGCCGTGTGCATATGCATGTTAAAATATTACGCCCTTTCGCAGCACATGAGCGCGAGTGCGGGAGCGGGCAGGTCTGGCGGCGAACAGATTAACAACCGCTTTGACAATAGTCGTTTGCATAATTTGATTCGACTCGGAGCCTTTGCGGTTAGCGGAGGGCTGGAAGTTTGGGCCAAGTCCTAGTGGCCAGACACACCTGGAAATCTTCTGGAGTCACCGAGTCTCCGAACCACACTCTACAGCAACGGGAGGACGCGTCTCGAACTCACCGTGCCTTTGCCACGGCCGGTTGAACAAACCGGGTTCAACCGATACCTCTCATGGCCTTGCTGTGTCCACTATGTAGTATTTTCTGTGAACGGAGACAAATTGATGCCGCCGTAGCACACTTAAGGCAACGCCAGGACGCGTCTCAAACTTTGCCACGGCCGATTGAACATGCTGGGAGGTTATTGCGCCTGTGAAAAAAAAGAACCACCGGTGGGGATCGAACCCACAACCTCCGCCTTGGACAGCTTAGGAAGACGGCGCATTAACCTTTATGCTACGGCGGCCACCGCGAAAAGCTGACCTCCTCTCATAGTACTAGCCTACAGCAAAGATATCATCTCAAGTCTTGTAATGTGGCGGAACCAAGAGGGAGGCGGGAATTCTCGATCAAAGGGGTCGGTTTGGCGCATGTGGCTTTCCATTAGTCTTAACATCCTGCGGAGAGTTCTGTGGATTTTATCTACTATGGCGAGGTGCTCGTGTTCGAATCCCCGATGTGCCAGATTTCAACTACTACAGTGCAAGTCACCACTTCTCTGCACGTGTTTTTCACAGTCAAAGAAATTTTTGTAAAATTTTCCTGATTTTCTGAGCCACGAAACCAGCCAAAAGAATGCGATTGAGCACAAAAACTCATTTTTTCCCACGGTGTTTCACTTTTTTCGAGGTCCGAAAAAAAAAAATTGTCTCCTGGTGGTTTTCCTGGCCATGATCAAGTTCAACACATCTAGAAGTGTCCTAGATGTGTTCACCCTTGCATTCGGAGATGCCCTTGGGTCCCTGTGAGCGAACCCTGGTCAGGCGCTCGGCCGTCTCCGAAATGCACGTGACCGCTAACCCTACCCGATATGGGAATCTGATGCCATCATTAGGGTTTGTTTCACTTTTCTGAGGGTGAAAAAGTCAAATCTTTATTGAGCAACTAACCAAGCACAAGCTGGGTTCTTTACTGTTACTTTAAGTGTTTCCAGGTGTTTTCAGACCAACCCAAGATGAGGGCATAATGTTATAGCGACTTCAAAGTTTTGACTTGTTTACTGCCAAAAGCGGAACCGTGATGTGATGACATGCACTATATCACCCCCCACCGTTCCGGACAAACCTAGATCTCGGACAAACACTTATCAATTAAGTAGCTCTCTTTTGTGGCATATTCTATAGGATGTCTCCTAAGAGAATAGAATAAAAACCCAGACAGATATTGCCTGTCCTTGGCCCTTTTGTTGGAATATTACCAAGCCGACTCGTTGATGAAACATGTGTTAAGCCGCTGGCTCGGCAGTACACTGCATGGTTGCGATGCTGGCATGGATATGCACAGCAATGTTGCGAGACGCGTTTCAGCTGGTCTGAAACCTCATGTTCAACCTCTCTATATATGCTTGTATATCCCATTGTTCCCCAGGCTATAAAAGCCCCCCGATTTCTTGAATAAATTATCTTGGTCTCGCTTTCCCCCTTCCTCTTCCCCTCTCGTTGAATACCCCCAATTCTCACACCTTTGGCCATTAATAATCTGCCCAGTACTGTGATAATTCAGTGTTTGCCCAAAGGTTTAAGCCCTTGAAGTCTTGAAGCCTTTTGAAGGCCTTCCTATAGGCCTTCACAAGATTTTTGGCTGAGCACCTCCCCCTTTGAAGGCCTTAAAATATCACGTGTCTGTATTACATAATTTGATTACATACATCGACCAACGATGACAAAGACCCCCTTGTGTATGTCTTAGGACACTGATTATGCTTGCCGTGCTGTTTGGCGAAGCGGAAAAACCATGCACTCGGAGAGATTCAAAGAAGGTGATGGAGGAGGAATTACTCATGCAGAGAAAGAGGAGGACAACATTCCATTTGACAGGGCCATAGAGATTGACTCTGATGATAAGTACCATGCTCAAAATGCATTCAGGTTGTGACGAGAATATAAAGTGCAATCACCCAAAAAGGCGTGGGAAAATACTTTTAAGGCCTTCATTTGCCCTTAAATTTAAGGGCTTAAACCTTCAAAGACCTTCAAGCTCCTGAAAACCAGTTTTAAGGGCTTTAGGACGAACACTGCTGTGATTTGACTGATTTTCGATGTTTTCAGCACAATTGCTGTGGCTGGGACTCGATTCAAGTTGAATAAAGCCTCTGAAATAATGAAAATACATTTTTGGAACATATTTAGTAGTCTACATCGAGGGTAGGTGGCCTGACGACGCAGTAATAGATTGTAAAGCGATCAGATGTCATGGATTTATGATCCAAAATATTTGCGAATTAAATGATATACTGTGCACCTCTCAGGAACTTTTCAGACTATTGGTCCTTGTAGGATGCCAACAAGACGTGGTTAATCCACCATGTAAAGTTTCAGGGTGTCGCTGTAAGAGATGGGCTCAAGACAAGGCCGGCAATCAGAAATTTCGATTTTACCTAGTACTCGGACAACTGACCACAACAAAGAAAACACCGCCGTTTGATAACGAATGGACCATTTTCGACAAACCAAAGTTTTAGACCTATCAAACAGAAAGATTGCAAACGATCTGTCCATACGGAATTTTATTTGGATGTCTAGATAAACAGATATTTAATGATTTTCCTTAATCGTCTGAGATCCCCACATCAGAGTTTGAACCTCCGGGTATTGACACGGCATTGTGATTAAGTAACCGTGATTAGAAATAATTGTGCCTGCTCCGAGTCCCACACTGTCACTTTGTCTGAAGTAGGACAAAGGTTGTGCGGAAATGCATTCCCCTCCTGGTCCAGATTAAATTTCCTGGAAAATGTAGTGGGCCGATGGGAGGCATTAGATGGATGCCATTATGAAACGCTCATCCAAAAGAAGAATTCTCGATCAAACCAGACCTTTGTGATTTGGCCCTCCGTATTTGCACATCCACGTTCTGTACAATTCCTCAGTCTATGACACTATTCTTTGTTTCTGAGTCCAATTGGTGACAAAACTGTCTACTCAGAATTTTTTTAAAGGCACAAACGAAGACGCGACTCGTCATTTTCCACTAGGCTCAAAATAATCATATCGGTAGGGAAATACTGTCAGCTCAGAGATGCAAATGACTTTTACCTGCAGAATGATCTTTAAGGTTATAATGTGGATTTCTCCCCAAGTTCCAAACGATTGACGCGGTTTCTGACGCGCCTAACATCCTATCGCTTTTGCGTCTTCAGAGAAAGGTTCCGAAAAGCACGTGTTGATCACATTTTCCTTATTTCACGTGAAGGGGATTGATCCGAACCTAACTTACGAGTACCCTCACAGTCCTGACAGTTCTGGCGCAGTGACAGAGTCCTCGCACACCTCCGTCCTTGTCCAGCATGCTGCCCGATTGCGAAAAGATGGGAGCCTTCCAGGCTGCAGCTTGCACCGACTGCCACGCAGTTCCGTCGATGACTTCCCAGTGCACAGACCAGTGTGTCGTCGTCGCTTGCAGCGATCCTCCTGTCTGCGAAATGGCCTGCCCCGGAAACCACTGCGATCTGGTCTGCGAGGATGCCTCGAATTGCAGGGATTGCAACGGTTTCGACGAGTTTGTCTGTCTAGTTATTTACTGAACAACCAGCCTGCTTACCATAAATCAAGCTTCAATGTTGTACAGACTTCCATTCCTACTACGAGGAGCCTAGAAATCATCCGGAAACCATTTGGTCGTGGGACCCTTCCTTGAAGACATTCGTGTGCTCTTGCGGTGGAGGCAGCACTGGGAGCATTCCCTCAAGTTGGGCCAACTTGGGAGGAAGCTCGTCCATCTTCGACGCCGTGGATGCCAGAGTTTCTCCCTCACATCATTCGACATCACCCCCGCCTGCTCTACCAGTGCCTCGAGTTTCCGAATTACCTGCGCTGACTTGCATGTGGGGTGAATGCGGCGTCTCATTCTCTAATATCTCCGACTTGGCGGAACATGTTAATCTGCTGCATCTGCGCCATCCTCCCTCTCCTTCGCTTCCTCCCTCCTCAGACTCTCGGGATCTCTTTGCCATGTCATGCCAGTGGAAAGACTGCAGCATATATCCCACTCCCAATTCAATCCCTGGACCCTCGTCGGGTGATATCGACTCGATACTGGGCATGCTGTCTTCACACCTGTTGCATGACCACCTCGGGCTGAGCAAGCTTCCCAGCTATACTCAAGATATCTCACCTCCTGAATCGCACCACAATCAGTCGCACCCTAATTCCCCGAGTTCTCTACCAGACTCTGCTGCTCCATCTTCCCATGAGCTCCAAGCCAGTCATGCATGTCAATGGCTCTCCTGTGGACAGAGCTTTAGCTCTCTCGAGGACGTCACGTTGCATCTGGTCAGCGTTCACGTCGGCGCAGGAAAAGCGACATATGATTGTTACTGGCAAGACTGCCCCCGACACGGCGAAAGCGGGTTTACAAGTAAACAAAAGTTGTGCAGGCATCTCCAGGTCTTATTTCATCTCTTCCGTAGCCTTCCTAGCTTACGCTCTTTCTAGTCGCACACTGGTCACCGCCCATTCCAATGTAAGATATGTCTGCAGAACTTCTCCGAGGCCGCCACTTTACAGCAACACATGCGACGGCACACCCACGAAAGTCAGTAGATATCAATTGAACTGTGTGTCTACAATTACTGACCAGTCGTTTGGCAGAGCCTTATGTGTGCGACTATCCAGGTTGTGGAAAGTCGTTTGCTATCACCGGTGCACTCACAATTCACAAACGGACACACAATGGTCACAAGCCTTTCAAGTGTCCCCACTGCGATAAGCAAGTCTAGTTTGTTGACACCATATCTTTTATTAATCTATCTCGATTCTCAGAGCGTTCTCTGAATCATCTAACCTTTCTAAACATGTGCGCGCTTTCACATCTGAAAAGCCATCTCTAAGTCAGTTTGCGTGCAGCTCCGGACCCACACGGGAGCTCGACCGTATACCTGCGTTGAACCCGGATGCACCAAAGCTTTTGCGAGAGCAGATCAGCTGACTAGACATAACGGAGTTCATAGGAAGCGAGAACCTGTGTTGTGAGTAGCTGATATTGATGTTGTATTCATCACATAGCTCGTGCATACAGTACGCGGAGTAGCGTGTAAATAGATCGTAAAGACCAGGACGGCCTGTAGTTAGGGCATGAGGTAGAGTGAAGACATGAGACCGGATGATTCCGTCAAGCAATTCAAGTGAGAGGAGACAGAAATAGGGACGAACACATGGCGGCGAGGGCCCTGTATCTATATGGATGCCTCAAATCGCCGACTCTTGACCTAGCCTTGCTTTGCCTCGGACCTCTCCTACACGGTTCCCA